GATTATAATCCTAATTTTTTTGAATGTCTCACTAGACATTAATAAAGTAATCTTTTATTAGCCATAATGAATAAAGTGAACTATTTCATTGGTATCCGAAACGGAGTGGCCTTACTTATTACGAGTATTCTGATTCGGAATGTAAGAGTATTTTGACTACCCTATTTCGTGCGGCCATTATGCATAAGAATCTTTAACACATTTAAATGGCTTGGTTTATCGTAAAAGGAATAGGATCACAAAATCTTTAAAACCTGTTTAATTTAATGGAAGCTTTGATAAAGATATCATGGACTCAGGTCAGAATACATCTTTGTGGTTGATTGCTGGTGCTGCTCTGGGCTGCTTGTACTTTAAACAACATCTTTTAAATATAAATATATATAAATCTATAAATAAATAAATAAATAAATAAATCTAGTATGCATATATGTCATACTTACGGCATAAACTTGACATATAACTTTGATGATTCAATACTCAAAATATTTCTTGATATTAAAACAACATATTTTAGTAATAGTAAGAATTTCTTTACTTTCAGCGGGCTTCTGAGTCAATCGCACAGTTTTGACAGCTCTTTAACATCCTGTTCGCCCATTAAAGAACGCACTCACATCAGTCCCCTCCGCACTTCGGATACAAGCCTCCTTCAGAAATCTCATCGATGTAATAGTAATTTTGGTGAAATGGAAGACGAAGGAGGTGCAATAACAGCTAACAATGAGGGTCTTACAAGCCGGAAAACATTTGGGCAACGTCATTCTCATCAGAGTAGGGGATCTTGGCAACGGAACAGCCATCAACAGCGGCATCCATCCGGTCCCCGTATAAATAAACAAGGGTTTCCCAGCCATACTGGTAGCCGAAGGTCAACGAGCAAGCTTTTAGCGACGGTAGGGAATGGAGAGGGGGGAGGGGGACTGCGTCACTCGAGGTCTGACAGTCAGTTGGATTTGGTTCTGGTATCTTCCGAGAACTATCATGTTGTATCCAGAAGCGATGGACTAAATACTACTAATGCAGCTGGTGAAATAGCGCCTACTTCCAAAAATGCTGGCTATTGGAGAGTAGCCGGCAGACCAGATAGAGAGTCGCATGGTATTCGATCCACTGGCCAATATCCAGCAACTTCAGGTCTAGAGTTAAGTTTGAGAACTCGAAGCAGAGAAAAAAGGAGTATGGCTAGTCCAGCCCATTCTCGTGGACAAGCGCTGGCTGATGAGATGCAGATTGGCAGGGCCAGAGAGCTACATGGCAGTAGTGTAGTTCTTAGATCAGACAGCAGAGGTAGCTGTAGCGACCCGGCTAACAGTATGGCTGATATAACAATAAATAGTAGAGGAAAATCAAGCATGGTCTCAAACACACCCTCACGAGGTCGCAAGCGTCATGGTCACAGTCAACCCAGGCGCAATGAATACTCTCAAACGCCGCCAGCTACCACTGGCTTGGTTGCCATCCTGGGAGAGCTGAAGTCGCGCATCTCAAATTGCAGACAGGGCAGTGTTACTGCAACAGTCAGCCTTCTTGATCGTCAGAAATCGCCACCGGCGAAGCAATCTGAAGAGCAAAGAATGGCTGGCACAGTGAAAAGAAGCGAAAAGTGAGAGTAAAGCCAATACATTATAAAATCACTCTCGAGTTATAATAGTGAATCGGAAATAAAATTTGAGGTTCTGGAAATTGTTGATAAAGTGTAGCTGAAATAATTTCATAATCCTTAGCTAAATTGTGAGATTTGGTTCATACGAAAATATTTGTTTCTGAGATTGTGAAAACTGCGCAATTTCTTGTCGATATTTTGTATAGTGCATGTGGTAATATATAATCTGTATGTAAGCCATATGACCTTATAGTGTTTGAATATTTGGTTACAGGCCCTTTAATATACAAAATTATCCCTATCATCTTAGGAGACGAGAATTTTCTTAATATTTAATCCAACTATATGGCAAGAACTCGCTAAATAGAAAGTAATATAAGTGACAAGAGGATAATTAATATCTAAATGCAACTAGTATTTTGAGAGTTAGCAACAAAAAATAAGTAGGAAGACAAGAATCTATATTTGTTCAGTTCCAACCTAGTAGCTCCTATTAGGTTAGGCAACCCAACTAGCCATCATAAACTTCCACACTCTCAACAAAGGATTATTTTCAAATTTGGGTCATTATACAATGGTCTATTTCCCACCTGTTGCCTTGACGAGAAACTTGCGGCACATTACTCAGAGCATATTTAGGAGCGGCAACTTATCTGGGAAAGCAGGTTAAATATTCTTATTAAGCATTATGGTGAGCTCTAAGTAGATTACGCTAGAGGCGGACGAGCCAAATTTGACAAGGTATCTGGATAATCGCTTATTTTAAATATGTCTTATCTTTGATAAAGAAGATTAGAATGTTCCGGATATGTGACAGGAACAAGAACGCCATAGAATCATATTCCTATTAAGTCAACCTTTGCTTGACACAATGGGCATTTATACAATTACTCCCTCTTATAATACTTTTCATGTGATGAAATATATACGAAACTATATTTTAGTTATAAAAATTAAGATAACTCTGGTCCACTTGACCACTGAAATGGTCCATAAACATAAATTTCATAGTATATAGGCTAGTCAATCATTAGGCTACATGTAATACTTGCCTCTTTTGATAAATAAATAAATAATATATATAAACGCAAATCACATGTCAAATGATGCGGAATATATGATGGACGAACTGAGGCAAGAAGTTAATGATTATATATTCCTGTCGAATAGCCTTGAATAATTATAGCATTATAAAATATTTTAAGTATTTAGTCTAACTATACTATTGACAGTTTATTTAAAACCTTTTTAATCTACCAAAAACCAAAATGCTATTTATTTACCAGACATCGTTTGGCGGAAAAAGCGAGTCAAAATGCTATGGGCCATCTTTCATTATCAGGCAAAAGCGATGCTCAAGCACGAAAGCGGCTACCAAATAAAGGCACTGTAGTCCCTTTTACTCCATCCTCTTCTACCAGCATCAGTGAGCCAGGCTGGAAGGAACTAGAGCTCCATCGTAAGGAGACCCAGCCCACTGAGCAGCAGCGCAATCCTTTATCGGAATCTACTAAGCTACATGGAGAGAGCACTATTGACATTTGGATCCGCATCTGTCGGCCAGAGATGAGCGCAAATGCTTGTTTTCCAGACTCAGGTAGCTTCGGAATCGGTGTCTCAGAGGGTCTTTCAATTCCAGGTATCTTTGTTAGTGCAATTCGCGCCAACTCGCCAGCTGATAAATCAGAGAAGCTTCATCTTTATGACCGGATAATGCAGGTATATCTAAACTATGATAAATAGTTAAAAATTTATGCATTTATCGTGAGCCAATGTCCCTGGTAATAAGAAGCTATAAAAAAAACAAAATTTGTCTCATGCACGATCTTTCATATTGAATTATGTTACCTAATGGGAAAATTATAGCAGGCCAAGAGGCTTTTTTCAGGATTAATGTTTTCTCCAATTATTTAATTTAAATAGTTCTCGATACTTACTAATAAAGCATTTAAGGAATGCAATAGACTGTCAGAAAAATTTATAGCCCGGAAACAAATAAATCACGAACTTTGAATATAAATGTGAGTTGACCTCGTCGCAACTTGGTCTTGTTGTCAGGGCGACTATGTAGAACGCATCTAGTCCGAAGTCATCTGCCATA